GCTAACCAATAATAGGTTCTGTAACATCAATAAACATCCACAGTGTTATACTGTTTGAGTAAATCAATGAAAGGGGAGCGAGAAAGTATTATTTTAAGCCTTTTACTTTCAAGCACACTGTCCAAGACACCATGGCACAACCTACAAGTTGAGCAGCTCTTTGTGTAATACAGTCTTTGGACAGATGTCTACCTCACTAATATTTTTGGTTACCATGCCAATAGTATGAGTCCTTATTCGCTATGGAACTTGAGAAATTTCTTGTAAATGGCATTATTCACTGCTTTGTGCCAACAAATGTCCTCCAAGTAGTATATCAAATGTTACAAATGACAAAAACGAACTTCGTCTAAAGACTGTTAGGCTATCAACTTTTCAAAACGCACAATAATTGCAATCCGATTCAATCTTCTTCAAGTTTGTCCATCCGTTCCTGCTTTTATATTTGCTACGTTATTTATACCTTCTTTTCATACATGTTTTGAGCAGTTATTTTTATGTTCACTCAGTTTGATGGCAGTTCTCACTGTTTGAATTTTTTTATGTTTGGTGACACAGCTCCTGCATGTGATATCTATTTCAGTTACATTGCATTGGGTGGTTGGTTGATACTGGAGACCTTTCAGAGGCGCATCCAGGTTTTTTTTTGGGAGCGGGTGCACTCGTCTCTTGCTCTACTTCAACACCAATAAACCACATAATTTTTTTTTTGGCTGAGGGGGGGGTGCACCCCCTGCACCCTCCCCCTAGATCCGCCCCTGCCTTTAGATTCTTGGACGAGAACGACTACGAGTACGAGATCTGACTAACATTTCTCTTCGTGTATTCTCAAAAATAGACACCCTAAAAGGGTACATTGTACTTTTATTTTTTCACCAAAAAGATAGCACTGTTATCGTTATTAGTGAAAGAGGTTAAGCCCTGTCCCGGGCTCAAGATGATAAAACTTTTAACACTGATTTCATAACTAGTTTCCTTGTCACTACATTCTCGCTAAAACTCGTAGTAGAATGATGACGGCTACCACGTTTTCCCACCAAAATGAAGCTGGTTCACGCGCGCGCACTACTTAGTATTGAGAAAATCTCGCACTGGTAGTCGTCCTCGTCTTAGAATCTAAAGGTCTCTACTAATTTATCAAATTTATGACATCAAGGACACTCGCAGGAATCAGTGCGTGTTTCTTGAAAGATTACCTTTCTTGAAAAGAGCGTTTCCTTTTTCCTTTTCCTCCTCGGCTTTTTTTGGATCTATGTACGCTAACCTCTGTTGCTCTTTCAAAGCTTTCTCCGCCTGTTGAACGAGAGAGATGATACACTCATCCACTATAAGTCCTCGACCTTATAACCCACTAAACCCCTTTTACTATAGAGAAGAGAAGTGTGACGTCACAAAAATTCAAGTTAGTAAAATTATGGGGTTGGTTAGCATATTCAGAAAGAATAAGATGAAAGAAGCCCCCTTGCCAAATATTAGCCTGTTAGTGCAAATTGGTTGGTAGATATAAGCACTGGTTTGCTCAGATGACTCCATGCAAATCCTTCTATAATTGGCTTGAATCGTGACGTTAAGGATCCAGGCCTCTTTTAGAGGGCCTTATATGGAGTCATTGGAGTATAACAATCAATCTTGGACAAAAATGTTGAGAAAGATGGACGTTACCATGTCTAGTTTCAAGATAAAGCTCTTGAAGCACTGTTAACTACAAATACTCCACCCCCCCACAAAAAAAAATGTTGCAATCTGACTGGATCATTTCTCATCCCGACTAAACAACTTTGACCAGGGTGGGGCGAGAGAAGGGGCCATAGCGGTACCAAACCCGCGAGATAGGCGTTTTGTGGGTAAGAAAGTGCAAAGTTCTCAACACTTTTTGTTCCAAGATTGATGTTACATCTCCTCGCTCATTTGCATCAACAGACTGATTTTTGGCAAGTGAACATTTTTCATCTTGTTCTTTTTGGATATACGAACCAACCCCAAAATTTCACAAATTTACTTTTTGTGACATGATCACTTGTCTGCTCTATTCGTTCATAACATTTTTCCTTTTCTGACCTAACCAGCTAGCGTTGACCAAATTTGGAAGATGTTTCTTTGAATCATACTCAGACTGGACCAATAACTGCTAAATAATGGCCTGCAATCTTAATCTTTTCCCAGAAACGCGTAATGATCCGAATTGAGTACGAGCCATGACTGACTTGTTAAAAAACTGACTGTCGATTTGCCCACCAGCATATTTGAAAAGCACTTCCGGTGATTCGTTGAATCAGATAGCGCCCTAGAAAAAGGATCTCGTCGCTGCGTCGCAGACGTTACTAACTGAGGTTAAATTACATCAGCGATGCAGGCTACTGAGAGCTGAATGTCGGCCAAAAGCTTTTAATAAGAGCTTTTTCACCAAAAATGACTCAACATGTAAAAGTAGAAATTAAACTAAATAATCCCACCTCTTGACTTTTCTTTAAAACTTCAGGAGTTCTGTGTTCGATAAGAGACTTGTTGTAAAATTTAATTGCTTCTGTTAGGTTCTCTTGCTTTCTATAGGCATTTCCGATCCTTGCGTATGCTCTAAAAATGTACAAACAATTCAAATAATGACCTCAGCTAAAATCTTATTCGTTTACTTACGGTATAGACTGTAAAACATTCCGTATTTTTGCGTATTCAAGTACGCGCGAGCAGTCAAACAAAACGTCGGGAACGAGGCTGAAAACAGAGAGCGAGACTGGGGAGATTTTTTATGCCACGCTTTACCGATTTCTTTACTGATTTTGAGAAAAAAAAACCGACTGTTTTGCAGTCTACTTGAGGAGAGGAAAAACGGTCATGGAGGAAGGACGATCCTAGTAAGAGGAAGATGCCAGAAGGGGGAACAACTTTCATTGAGTTTACTTGCAGAAAGTTTGGTCCGTGTGGTGCCCAAGTAGAGAAGGTTCGAGAAGGAATAAAAATTGACGAGTGAAAAAAAAAAAATACCGTTCCGCTCTGTCTACTGGCATTAGTAACTACCTTTCGGCAGAAACGCAATGGTCGGCCACTCTTGTTTGGTTTGTCCCCAGTACTAGGATCTTACTAATACTAGGAAGATCCCAGGGCCAGGGACAAGTACAACCCTTTGAAAGCAAACCAAATACAGAACTTAAACATATGGTACTAGGGTTATCCACCCTCTAGGATCTTCCTCCCTTCATGGAAACAGCCCCTTAGAGTCTATCAATAAGAAATGGCCTGTCTCAAATATTTAAAAATACAAAAAGTGACAAAAGTAATGCTGTGTCACTTCTAAACCCAAACATTTCACTTTCTGTGCATGCCGGAACTTCAGAAGCAAATATTATTTTGCATCTGTATCAGAAGGTTGAAAAGTATACAACCTGTAAACGGCTTTTTGGTAAGTTTTACCTCTTTCAATAGCCAGCCAGTGACTATGAAAAGGGCTTTGACTAGCTTTCTTCAGTAAAATTCCCAGGCGAAAACGGGCTTACGGCCTGCTACAAAGGTAAGGCGAGTGGCAGATCTTTGGTCTAGGCTGAGAGTCAGGCTTTTACGTAATTTTAAACATAACTTACTTTGCAATCATCTGATATCCTGCAGAATGATCTCTGCCAACATCAACTGCCTTTTGGCATTCCTCAATACATTCTTCAAACCTCCCTTGTTCAAAATATACAGCTGAAAACATAATGTACACAACCCAGCAAAATAATTATATTATTCCTTATGCTGTACTAATTCTGTAAAAGGTCTTAATAACAACACTCTTAAGGCAAGTAAATGTAACTGTTAAAGCAATTTTAGCAAACAAGAAGGAGCAAATAGTACGTTTTGGTTAGCATGAAGCATACCGTATTTAGGCTATATTGACACTATACTGGACAGACACAAAAAGCTATCCAGTATTTGTAAAATCCAACTAGTGGTCTATTATCAATGCTGCGTTCTGATTGCACCCCCTGCACCCTCCCCCTAGATCCGCCCCTGAGCTATCTGGTATGATATGACAACAGCCTTACTCAAAAGAGACGAGTGCCCCAGCTTATTTGAGGACAGCACTTTTTTTCAAACTTTCTGGGGTTACCTCCATGTACTACTACTGTACCTCCTCTAAGCGATCATTAATTTTACAGGTACATGTACCAAAAACATGTACCTGTCAAATCCTGCTCAATGAAAGTGAGACATGCACAGTTATGAAAGCTATGGAGAAGAAACTAGATGGGTGTTATATCAAAATGTTACGTATGGTATTTAATGTGTCTTGACAAAATAAATTGACCAACAAGGATTATATGGTAATTTGCCACCAGTGTCATCAAAGGTGGGCTTCAGAAGGTTGAAGCTAGCCGGCCATTATGTTAGGCACCCCAGGGAGGAAGCATCTAAGCTAGTACTTTCAATTGGCAGCTGATGAGTGGACGCATGAACATGGGAAGACCAGCTGTTACTTATATAGATAACCTGAAAAGTGATACCAGCTTGGAAAGTGTGGAAGAGCTGAGAACAGCTATGTTGGATAGGGAGCCCCTTAAGATGTGTGCTCTTGCTCGGTCATAGTAGTAGTGTAGTGGTAGTAGAGGCCAAAACAGCAACTAGCAACAGCAACTAACCAGCTTGATTTTATTATAATAGAGCTATTATGTTCTAATACTGACCTGCTCTGTTAGTGAGAAAGCTGGCATTTGTGGGATCAAGTTCAATTGCATTTTTGTAGTGCGCAAGGGCAGTTTCAAAATCTTTTTTCTTGTAAGCAGCATTTCCAAGCTCTTTCTCCTCCAAAGACTGTAAAAAAGGAGAATAATTGAAATACAATGTATTAATAATGTCAACTTTATTACTGATGTGTCCTGCACATATCGTATGTGGCTAAGGTTGCATTCCTTTTGACCAAATTATGTATTGTAATTTTTTGTATTAAACTATTGAAATAGTGAAAGAAATAAAAAATCTGAAATCTGAAATCATTCCAAATCCTGATTTTGCGATCCAAAATTTGATTTTTCGTTCCATTAAGGACTTAACCAATCTGAGATTGCAGACTGAACAATCCACCTCCACATTTGAATTGTTCACATTGGTATGTCAATCTGTTTTCAGATTTTCACGTCACTTAACAAAACTGCTTTCGGATTGCAAGATTGTGCTTGTTCATCGATACACACAGCGGAGGTTAGTTCCTGCAAAAGTTATTTACACTCCTCCTTTGTTCTATGCCGCTAAAGGGCCTGTAACTCTAAATTCACAAGGAAGCGAAGACGCTTGCATTTTCTCACCATAAAGCGATAGTGTCCAATGTGTGTGTGTTTAGAAAGCCCTTCTCAGCACTTGAGAATTCGTTATGGTCTTCTGAATTTTCATGAATCAAATTCCACATAATTTTACATTGACAAGTCCCAGTATGAACCAGCACTAGTTAAAGAGCTATTTTTCTTTTCATTTCTCCATGAGAAGACACTTAATTTAGCAGAAAGAAATGAAAAACAATAACTTGAAATTGACAAGAAGATCAGAACAGCAGGCAGCTACTGTATGGATCAATCTTATTTCAGATTTTTGTCCCAGCTAGGAGAAAAATTAAAACAATCTGGATTGGCTGAAAGGAAAGCAACCTAAATGTAATTTAGGCAAGGTTAAACACGAGACAATGCTAGTCAGTGGTCCCCACCACTAATAATATAATTGTATGTGGGCCAGTCTTGGGCTTTAGCAGGGCTTTAGTAATTTTACAGTGCCTTCCAAGGAGCCAATCATTTTGCTCACGTTGCCTTTGTGCGCCGTAGCTTAAGCCATTTTTGCAACAGACAACACTTTTTTTGAGACACATTTTATTCATTTTTCTTACATTATATTATCATCTTGGAATCAAAAGGTACAAACTTCTGTATTTTATGAAGCATTTCTCCCGATCGCTTGAATCAAACCAAGAGCAGCCATTTCAAAATAAATTAAATGTATGAGATCAAGTGTAGTGCCTGAAATCACAATGCCTTGACATGGTGCAAAGAAAGTCAGGTTTACAGCTCGACATTAGAGCAAGCTGCACCCACATGTAGTTAGCATGTACTAGCCCAAGAGTCATTTTAACCAGCGCGAAAAAAATATTTTGATGCACAGTACTGATAACAGTTCTTCTGTAATTTGAATTCCCCATAAAACTTCACTTGCCAGTGGGGAAACTAAGCACAGAATTCATTAACCCAATAGCAAAATCCACTAGTCCCAGGTTATCAGACACGACTTTCTTTGCATGCTGATTGAACAGTTCTGATGGTCCTCCTGGCCTAAGCTAGTTAATGTTTTTACCTTTTTGATTGAAGGATCCACTTCGGGTTCAGGTTCAGGCTCTGTTTCCATTGGCTCAGCTGTTGATGGCTTCTCTTCTGGTTTTGGAGGTGGAGGAGGTTCTGTGTGGGTAAGATTAGGGAGCTTCAGAAAGCATGATCATGGTGAACGTCGCTAAAGCAATAAGTTTGGCAAAACAAACAAACACACTTTCTAGTCAGTGTCTTCAGGAAAATTTAAAGAAGAAGGAGAAAAAAAGCAAGTAAATGACAAAGAAGGTGAATTTTCTGAGATTAGAATTCTATGGGAACTGACTCATTGTTTTGTGTTTGCAATTGTCATAAGATGTTACGTGAGGAAATTTCACACCATAGTTATGGTTGTGCAGTGATGGAAAGGAAATGGTAAAAAAAGTGTGATGTATGTACAGAGATGTTGTCTTGCTTATTAATATCATTGCTGTTTTCACATTCTGTTGCTATGACTCCCTTTTATCTTGTTGTTGGCTTCCCAAGACTAGTGCCAATGCCATTGCACTTTCTGGTCTAAAAGGGTATCTGTGTTCTTAAAACGTACCATCATTATCTTGTACATCGGCATCAATCCCAAGCAAAACTGCAACAGTCTGCATTATCCTTTGATCCTGCAAGTACCTGTTAAAATCAAAGCTAACACTGAACGGCCTAGTATCAAGTTAAATATTCTTCACATTGTTCGCCATACATTTTTTTATGGTACTAATGAAAATCTGTTTGACCATCAAGAAGTTTTATCTTTGCTGACCTTTATTTTCTTTATTCTTGCACCAAAATCCATGTTCTGGGCCCCCATCTATGTACCAGGATTTGATTGCATGCCATCGTAGTTAATTAAAGTGGAATGGTTGGGAAAACCTTTGTCTTAGGTTTTTGTTAGCTCTTTTGGACCTGACCACGCACAATGTTCAATAGCATTCCTATCATTTTGAAGTTATTGATCAATAGAAACATTGCGTTAATTTATTCAGTCATAATTTGTGAACAGAAAACAAAGGATTGTGCACGGTCAGGGAGCTTCCGACACAAACTACAGCACCATTGTTTCACAACTTTGATGTTTGCCGGGTTTCCTAACCAGTCTCCTCTACTAACTATGATGCCATGATTGACGTGTTAAAAAAGCCCTCGTCAAATTGCCATTCCAGTTGATGGGAAATTCAAAACACATTTCCGGTAATTTGTGGAGTCTGTTGGGGGCCCAGATCCTGAGATCCTGCTAATACCACTAATTATTAGTGGTATTAGCAGGATCTCAAATTTTAAAACAATCACATCTGTGCAGAGAGGTTTTCCATACTCCTTCCCCTACCCTTTTGACATAACTTTATAACTTAACATTACGGGTGATGCAATTTCCCACATTGTATGGTCAGATGCGATTTGACATAAATCATTAACATCAAATTCAGGGTTCTCAATAGATTTTTAAGTAGGAGGTGATCACTGATAAAGTAGGAGGCTCTTCCGCAAAGCCAGAGGTGTCAAAACAAAGCAAAGAAAAGCGACTTAAACACAAAGTAAGCGGCTATAAATCCCAAAGTAAGCGGCGATCAATCGCCGGGTGCCGCCTTCTATTAAGAACCCTGATCAAATTGCATCTGGTCATAAATTCCACTTGAAATTTTATATTTTAATAATGGACAAGTCAATAGAATTAAATAAAAAATGCAAATTTTAGGTTATTTACTTTCACAAACATCATGAAGAACATTATAAACTTTCTCCGGTTGATGTGAATCAAATGACAGTACAGCAAGTGTTCCAATGATGCCAAATGTACACGTAATCCAGAGAAATTGCATAATTTGCCTCAAAGAAATTTTTATACATAATGTGACCTCCTAGAAACAGCGGATAATTTCATAGCATTTTCAACACCATGCCAGAAAGCCTGTAGCCTGTGAAAACAGCTGACATTTTGTTATGCAACCATCGGTTCCCCTGCAAAATGAGTCTGAGAAATGACTGCAGAATTTCCATAACGATGACGTGTCACCACCCAGATGTGGTCGTCCTGTAAGGATGTGCTTCAACCAATCAAAAGCACTACCAAGATCTAGGTAGCCATCAGCATGGAATATCTCCCCAGGTTCTTCAGACGTCATTTTGCAGGGGAAACCGGTGGCGGCGTTTCAAACTATTGGCTGTTTTCTCAGGCTAGAAAGCCTGCTTTGACTTATCACTTTGATGGATACATAAGGTTCACAAAGTCCAACTTACGTTCCAAGCAACTGTGGGTTCTGCCGTACAGTTTCAACTGTCTTACGATAGTCTTCTTGTTCCAAAAATGCTTTGGTCTTTGGGTTTGTCGCAAGACGAACATACAAGTCGGGCATTGCAAATGGATTCATCATTGGATTGTTTCCTATTTCAAAAGATATGTTTGTGGTAAAAGCTGAGAGTAACAAGACAATTAGGTAGTGTTAGGGTACATTTTCCTGGAGAAGGTTACATATTGTTTTAAAGTTTTGAGTTTTTCTGCAAACAAGCAGCAACAAATTCAAATATTTCTTGTAAAAAAGAATATATTCCATGAATTCAGTTGCATTTACATTTTGATCTTTGTGATCTTTTGTCTTTTATCTTTCAGTCACAAACAATAGCTAAAAGAACAAAATTTCTACAATGACCAATCAGCGTTTGTTGAGCAGATTCTGTCATCAGTATGGAATTTGCCTGGCCGAATCACAGACGCCTCTGATCTCCTACAAAAAGTCCTTAGTGGTGAAGAAAGAGAAGAGACTGCTGCATTTCACAGGCTATTGACTTCAAGGCTAGGGAAGGGACATTGTTTGGGACAGTCATCTACTATTTCATTGGCTGATTAACATCACTTTTCTCCTCAGCATAATTATCAATACACAATCAAGAGAAAAGGATAGGAGAATAACAAATACAAGGGTAACCTTGTAGCCTGCGAAAACACCCATTTCTCCTCGCTCATTACTGTTTGGGACGTTTCACGCAAAGGAAAATCTGTCCAGAATCTGGTCATAAACACTGATTGGACTACGGAGTAGTTACATTGTTTTAGCTATTGTTTAAGAATGACGCCATGAATCTATAACAAAACAGTCAATATTTGTGGGATATATCTTCTCTAGAAGGAGCATTTGAGTTTTGCTGGAGCTCGTTCGCAGATGAGCACAACACTTTACCAAAATTGACCTGGAGAAACCTAAAATTGAACAAACTTGCATTTGGAACCCAGTGACTACCGGATTTATTACGTAAACATTGATTTATGTCATCAGTATGTAATTTCTGCCCCTGAGTTGCAGATATTCCTCCTTGTGAAATGTCCTCAGGGGCGAAGAGCAAGGAGAAATGACTGTTTTTGCAGGCTAGTAACCTTGGGGAGAATGCTTTGATCTTTTATCAAATTACTCAAACTAATTCTTTGAGGAAATGTACGGGAATCAGTCGGGAGAATTTATAAGTGAATATTGGGGGATATTAAAGGGTTTTAAACAACTTGTTCTGAGAGCTTTGTGGGACTCAAAACTACTTACGGGCAGCTTGTGCTTTTGCGTCTTCTAAGCCACTTTTTAACTGGGCATTATTTGGATCCAACTGAAGACCTTTAGTGTAAGCTTTTTCTGCTTCATCATGGCGCCCAAGGAATGATAATGCAGCACCCAGCCTTGAATAACCCTTTTAGTAAAAATTAAATAAAAATATGGAATGGCATGAGTAGGTATGGTACTGTTGGATCCATATTCTCTTGTCTTGAGGGCAAAAAAACTGCTGCAGTGCATAACAGGTAATAGGAAGGAAGATCAACCAGAATGTTGAAACAAGAAAAATCAGTTTAAGGAAATTTTGTGCCAATGGCAAAAAAGAAGAACAAAAAATTATCAGATCTTATAGTTCCATAAACAAGTCATTTTGGTTACAAGTGAGACTGTAGCAGAGTCAAGGAACCCTTTCACCGATTCAGTGGCCATACTAAATTAAAGGAATTATATAGAATTTTAAAGTGCCCCTAACCCTTCAATTTGCTTTCTTTTGGTAGATTTCCATACCTATCAAGAACTCATTTTCGAAAAAAAATTTTCAGAAATATTGAATCCTTTTCTTTTACGAGCGCTAAGAGTTATTGAAATTTTTAAATTCTTGCGAGCTATAAGCCCCGCTGGACAAATTTTTGTCTCGTGGGCTCATTACGAACGAGCCACTGAGAAGTGTCTGAAATTTGACACTTTTTTAGCTGTGATGTAAGAAAAGGACACCATTCCAAAGCACGAAGCATTGAAAGAAGGAATCTTATGCATGCTGATTCCTTTCTCTTTATTTCGAGAGTTGCTGCATCCAAAAACCACACATTTTTCAACCATTTTCTCTATTTAACAATAACGCATTACCGCGAATCTTCACATATTTTTTACACACGATGTCCTTTTCTTATGTCACGCTCCATATTTGGACACATTTGGCCAAGTGGGGGACTAATGCGAATGATAGGTGAAAATATTCACAAGATTGCCTTCACTTTTAGTGCCCGTAAAAAAAAGGATTCAATATTTCTGAAAATTTTTTTTTCGAAAATGAGCTCTTGAAAGATATGGAAATCTACCAAAAGAAAACAAATTGAAGGGTTAGGGGCACTTTAAGGGATAAATCACTTGCAAGGTGCTAGGTTAGTAATAGTTTTAAGTTTTCTTACTAATTTTAAACTAGAAATACGTGAATCGCATGACCCAGTGAAGGACTTTGAGGGTACAGCAAGAAGTTGAAAGGGAAAGAAGGCATTAGGGAAGAAAATTTACAAGTTTTAAAAAACTTAAGCTATATAGAGCTTAGGCTCGATTACCAGCCGCTGTTCGGAAAAATGAGCCAGGACTCATCCCCCCGAAAGAGCTCTCTTCGGGGAGGATCAAAGACCGTACCCGGGAGACAGCGGAAATCGAGCCTATATAGAGCTATAAAAAAACAAAATACTAAAAAGAAAACTAGCCCAAAAGGAAAACAAAAAAAAGAAAAGAAAAACAGGTTCTGCCCGGAATCAAACTCTGGAACTCCTATGTGCCAGGCTATTTCATTACCACTATGCCATGTGGAACACACTGTGAAGGAATCGATAATGTTTTATTAAAAGCCTTTCCCCTAGGACTTCTCCCAGCACGCCCTGTATAAAGTTGATTGAGCCCTATTGAACACAAATTCAAAGATATTTTTCAGAGGAATGACTGCTGTTTTGCCTAATGTAAATGTTGCAGTTAATTCTTTATTTCAGTTAATTTTAACTCAGAGGAGGATTGAATAGTATCCCATGATGCATTTTCCAGAAGCATCACGCAATATCGCAGTCATAGCAGATTCCATCGTGAAATAGGGTCGTTTTCTCGTCAGCTTTTTTCGCACTCGATTTCCAGTAAAAGTAAAAAAATTACATTATTTCGTTATTTGACATGATTTCTCCGATTTGCAATGGCTTAAGAGCGAAGTTTCCACTTAGAAACATTTATTTTCACGGTTTCAATTAGTCTTCCCATCACAAAGTGTTCAGTGACCCACAACCAGGTCATGAATATTCAAGGTTTTTTGGAATATATGTCGAAATCTTACAAATGTGGACCTCACGCCAGCAAAATGAAGTCCTGAATATTGTACAGGCCAAGAAGTACCCAGAAGTACCCACATTTTGAAGACTTTTTTGTCGACCAAAGATGGCTGAAATTTCGAATCTTTTATCACATTTCAGCGCCATGTGTCATAATATATGTGTAAAGCCTGATGAAGGCTACAATCTGTTGGGCGCTTTTGAGAGCGCTTTATGCCGAAGCAATCACTTTGTATTTTCAAAGAGGTTATTTTTAAAAGGAATTTGACTATAATTATTTTAATTCGAAGAAGGAGCAGTGTATAACGGTGTGTTTCAGTGTGAAAAGAACCCAAGGAACCACGCAGCATGTAAGCCGGCACAACGTAAACTGAAGCCTACTCGGAATTTGAAAAAGAAACATCATGCAGAAACTTTATTTATTCAAAAGAACAGATCAGTATTGTGGCCAGGAAATTTCCTTGAAGATTGCTTGAGTCAGTACCAGGTAGACTGTGCCTCAGAGAATTGTTTGTCGCATCGATAGGTTAAATTTTATTTGTAACTGGCATTGTAAACTTCAGCTCCTTTGAGCGCGATGTTGTAATAAATTATCCTTTGGTAATTAGCTTCACAGCGTAGCGGATGTTTTGTTGGAACCACTTTATAGATCAGTCATAGTTTTTAGTTCTCCTCTAGCCTGGGTTCTCCTAGTGAACCTAGCGAAGCTTATCAATTGCGAGTCTTATAATTTGTGTTTACAGTGCGACCGAGCGCGGCACAACTAGTTCTTGACAGATCAGTGAAATACATGTAAAACCCTTCTCAGTCAAAGCAACGCTGAAATTCTCCTTTAAAGCACAGTGAATTTAAGCCAACTCGATAATCTCAAAAGCAGAAGCTGCTGAACCGAAACATGTTTGGAAACCATCCACATCGAGCACTGCGATCGATGTTCACTTCGCGCGTGCTGAAGGTTACTAATCATAATGTGTCGCGTACGCAGTGATAATATAACATGAATCGAGGTGCATCATGGGATACTATTCGATCGTCGTCTGATTTTAACTGAAATAAAAAATTAACTACAACATAAACCCATTTCATCGCATTTAAATAACAGACCCCCGACTAAGCCGGTGGGGTATAACCTCGTCTGTAAGCAAAACGTGTTTTGTTACCTCAATTTTCGCTCATATCTTAAGACTAATTATCCAAAATCGCTTCCCTTTGCTCTTAAAAGTACTTAAATGTTTGAAATTCATTGCAAAAAGCACTTAACTCCTAAAACAGCCACTAAAAACACCAAACCGATAGAAATATGACCAAACCAAGACGCTCTTCGGTGTTCCCTGGAAACACAAAATGCTCCGTGACGTCACACCCTAGATGATGTCAGGGCGGACACCATGGCGATATATACATAGAATTATAGATGGGCCAGCTGACTTTGCAGGTTGCTAACACCACGCGTGGTACACACGCTTCACGCGCGACAAGATTATAAACCTCGCAAAGCAAGGCATGCTTATTTTATAACATTTATTTTCTATAACTTGCAAATTCATGTACATGTATAGTAGAAACACTGTACATGTATGTACCTACGAGTTGTTGACAGGGGTTTATAAAAACAAATCAAGTTATTTACAATGCAATACGCTATGATAACATTCATCCACAAGCAGTATTCGAAAAGCAAAGTCACACACCTTCGCTTCTTTTCGCAAAAAGTCATGGTTTATATTAAATACCCTGCTTTAATGCTGATAAATCAATTTCACATGGACTCTGAAATTTTGCTTCTTGATCGCCATGAAAACTGAACAAGTCAATTCTCTCACCTTGCCCCAATCTGGTTTTAACTCAACACATTTCTTGGCGTCAGCTAATGCCTGCTCATATTTCTTGTCCTTAGCATAGGCTGCAGATCGGTTGCTGTAGAATACATGATTTGAGGGGTCGAGAGAGATCGCCTCGGTGTAACACTCCACAGCTTTCGCCAAATCACCTGCTTGGAGATGAGTATTCCCCTGGTCCTTTAGCTTGACTGCCTGCAATATAGGAATATTTACATTTCCTGTTTCTGTTCCAAGTTTTTTCTCTCGAAACTAGTCACACAAGTACGAGAAAAGATCGTCTCACCCTGGCGGCATCCGCCATCTTCGCGTGGCTCACACAATTTTTGAGCACATGTGTACTGAGCATGCGTATTGAGAATTTGTTAACCGCTGCCTAAAAGTAACGAGGGCGGCGAGACCCTCCCTCGTCCCACATAAAGTGATGAAACGACGATCTGTTTCGACCAAGTTTCACACTGTGAGTCGTGCGGCGAAGGAAAAGTGAGCTGTGCTTATCAGTAAGACTACTGCTTTTATATTTTCTTCTTTTCCGTCGTCAACGTCCCGCTGCAGTGTTATCCCGCAAAATAATTCTTGATATTCGACGATTTCTGCAGTTACCCAGAGAGAGGTTATGATTCTTTAGCTTTGTACTCCCTTATATAAGCCATATAGGGTATGTTCCGCCCCTCCCCCCCCCTCAGGGTATGGTTTTTGCGCCGTTTTGGTCTGGAAACGGGTATGGAACTACTGGTGGGAGTGTATGAACGTATTTATCTTTCAATTCCAACTGAGGAGAAAGAGAAATTTGCGAATTCCAAATAAATTTTAAGAAATCTTTTCTGTTGGCTTTCCAATCTAAGTAATGACGACAAAATTTCTTAGAGGCCGGGTCTGAAAGCAGGTATGGATTTTAGAGGCCAGAGGCCCGTTTCTCGAAAGTTGTTGCCGTTTACATTAAAGATCGAGGTTTCAATAGTTTTGCATCTAACATGATAAAGCTATCAGGCAGTGAAACAAAATGGAGTGATTTGCTAGCCAGGACCGGCGTTCTTATTCTTTATATTTCCATTTTAAGATTTGATTTCGGGCCCGAAAAGCCGACCGGGACTTTCGAGAAATCGGCCACAGATCTAAAACGGGTGTGGAAAATAATATTTTTTGGTCTAAAATAGGGTCAGGATTTGGAGAACTGGGCGGCACACCCCCACCAAGAATTGCTAGGAGAACTCCCCCGATTAAAGAAAGGAAGAGTCTTCGGGTTTCTGATGCATTTGATAAAAACTTTGCTTTTTTACCCCCGAATACATTGAATCATAAATATAAGGACTTTTTTTTATCAAAACTGGTTTCAGTGACTTTCAACACTAAAGGAATAAATATAGGGTGGGTGTGGAGTTCAATTATTTGTGTGTTTCTTAGCCCGAAAGGTTCTCTCCTTTAGAAAAAATACGAGACGTTCGTGAGCTCATTCTCTCTAGATGGGGTGATGAATATCTTGCCGAGACAAGTCCAATTGATAAACAGTGAGGCATTTGATTCTCCCTAGAGATAATTAAAATGCCATTTCAGTCCTTTAATTTCTGTTGTAAAGCAAATCCAAATAAATCAAAATGCTACAAGTAAAAGTTATCAAGTCAGAGTTTGACCGTACTGCAGTTTATAATATTTGGTAACAGGATTTCCAACGCCACAAGCCATTTGTCTCCGCGCCAGCAAAGCATCACAAAGGAAGGTAAGAGGGGGGTGGGGGAATGAGGCTCGACAAGAAAACAACAACAACCACAACTTTTACAACAACTGACAACAACAAAAATATAGAGAACAATCCCATAAATATATCTCTCGGGGAAAAAAGAGCAAAAAGGTTAAAAACATGTTTCAGACTACAGTAATAGCGTGAAAAACGCTAAGTCACCAAGCTATTCGTATAATCTGTAAAATTTATCTGAATTATCAATAAAATTCGAGGTTGCTGCCATTTGAATGACGCTACAGGTCGCTAGCAACGCCATATCCCATAATACTTATATTACTGTCGCCACTCGGCTTTATAAAATTATTTGAATCTCATCGCCCTCTCTACCCCTCCACCGCTTTACAGTACGGGTGTTTTACGGGCTGATTATAGTGTAGACAAAATCAAGGGGTGAAGTATCTTTCGAATTCATGGGATTTCTTTGCTTGGCAAATACCCTAAGATCTTCATTACAGACAGACAATTCCGCTCAATGAAATGTTTATCGTTGCCACTAAGTTTCCGTTTCCAGTTATCAACAAGAGTGGAAGCATTTCTGTGCGTGGAATATGGGGAATAAGGTTTTCTTGGGTATGGAACACTGCTAGCTTTTGTGTTTATCTTGATCCAGTCTGAGATTTCCATCTTCATTGGAATTTTCGCGAACTTGAATAGATTTCTTGTTGTGTTTTCTAAATCTAAAACCAGATCTTCGTATCTAAGTACCTTGTAAAGGTGAAGTAAGTCAGCTGAAAGGTTTTTGATTTCAAGAACATTATGGTGAATACGGTTACATATTCTTTGAGTATGCTTTAGAATGTCCTGTGTTTGAAGCTTTCCATTTTTGAGCGTGCTTCTCCGTATGAAATTTAACTTCATTTGGGATAATATCAAGGCCCGTGGGTCTCTCTAAGTGAATAACTTTGCACGGCTCTGGCTTCGTATTAGCGCACATTGATAGCAAGGATGCGATGCTTTGGTTCGGAACCCTGTTCGACAAAATCTTAGCAACGTTAAAGGAGTACTGAAATTTACAAACTTCCTCCATCGTAGTTCCAATAAGCGGCGCGCAGTTCTTTCTTGCAGTAGAGGCATGAGTTGCTTCTCCCTGGTGACATAAAAGGAAAGGAAGAAAGCGCCTTGCTAGAAGAACGATGAAAAGAATTGAAATGAGCAAGATAAACTGAAGAGCGGAACCTGCAATTTAAAATTTCAAACAGTAATTTCACTGCGAGTCGATTGTTCCGATGGAAGCTTCAAGTAGAGATCTTCATTTGTTACCACGGTAACAGCACGCAGAGGTTCAAATAGATAGAAAACGTTTGGATGTTGATTAAAAATCTGACCCCAAAATGACGAACCAGATCGAGGCTCTGAAACAATTATAACATTGACTCTTTTGATGGTGGAAGAATCTAATATTGACGAAGGTGTAAATGAATCACTGCGGGGTTTAGTCGTTATGAAACCCGTTCGTGAGAACTGAAGACTTATAAAGAAAGCCATTTTTCTGCTGTCTAAGGTCTTCTTTTCCCTCAGCGGTTTGTTGTTAGTATTAAATGCACTACTGAGGTTTTCGTTCAAACCCTTAACACGAGGAAATTGTCTTTTAAGTTGGTTAACCTTCTGGTTTACAATCAACAACAAGATGCTTATTAAAACACATAAGGCAATTGCTTTTGAGGTTTTTACACTCATCATGGCGCGCATGCAATGAATCTTAGGCAAGCATGCGCGCAACTAAAATTTACGGGATCATTTAAATCGTCTGTTCTTTTGTTTGCTTATTAGTGACAGATGACGATCACTGTGTGTAGACTTTATTTAAATAATTACTTTACAACTGCCTTTTCTGCATCAAAAAACCTTCAACCCTTCCATGCACTTCCAAGATTACAAAACAAAAGAAGATTTTGTCCACTTTCTCGAAAGGTAAAAACATATGTTTTGCTTATTTACATAGCTTGACTCTGGGAGTTTAAGGGGAAATCATTATGGACATTCTGGTCCTAATATTGTTCAAAAGATAGATAGTGCTATCCACCGGATAAGTAGGACAAATCCAATTTGTTTTAGAGGCTCATCCATAGGATAGAGCTTACGGTAGATAATGGCGCCATACAGCTTTTGAAACCGGGGTCTGGATCGTGGGGTACGGCTTTCAATTGTCAGTTACATCCATTTGCCTTGCAAACGGAGCACGTTCAAGTTTAAACCGACGAATTGCAACAGAGTGATAATGATATATATTTATGACGAAAAAGTTCATAAATAGCCTAAAACTGGAACTGGTACATGTAGCTCTTAGGAGGGCAGTTTCCTAGAAACCTGAATTGATGCTCTCTTTCTTCAGAACCCGCGGCTGAATAAATTAAATCATTTCACCTCAGAATGAAAGTAAAATTCAGAATTTTTTTCAGTTGCCTGCATGTTTAAAGAGGCTGTCCAATATTTTTCAATAGAGCACCCCTCATATGTCGTTTTCCTGTCATTTGTTTTTTTAAATACTGTGTGTGAATCAACTGTATTGGTCGGTGAAAAGTCAAGAAGATCTGTTCTTTGCTCAGGTGATTTTATGGTCTTATTTTTTATACAAAGTGTGGCTTTTTCCTGATTGAAATTTAAAATCATATTGTAAATCCAAACTTATAGTTGTTCTTCTTCTAGTCAAACCGAGTCATTTGTGAATACGCCAACCCGTAAGTTCTACAATTATACCATGTATCCAGCTCAGTTCAATATTAGTAGCGAAAGATCATTGGGAAAAAAATCACCTAAAACTGAACTAAACTGACCACAACTTTCTACCATTACACACAGTTTGATCAAGTTTAGAATGCAATGGTATTCTAACATTAGTGACTTTTATAATTGCACGTATTGATAACAAGACAGTTTTAGTTTTCTTAATTAGTTTTGCCTTCAATAAAGCGACTGTAGAAAGGTTTGAAACGCAAGAAGCGCTTACTTGTCTTTTCGCCTCTTGGTCGAAGAGGTTTTTCTTTTTACCCGAATTAAACAAAAAGCCCAAGTACTAAAACACAGGTCTTTCCCAGCCCATTATTTTCATGCCAGCATTTGTTTAAATCTTCCCCGAACCATATCTGGAATTCTTGTCCTACCGATACATGCAAAGGAGTGGAAAAATTATCAAACAGCAGCTCTGGTGAGTCAGCAGTTTGACCTGGAAGGCCGTAAAAGGTATTGTGGCAATCTATTCCTTCCAGAAAAAAATCATCTTTTGGGAGAAGTCGTTCACTCAGGGAACTGGTTATGATGGTTCCAAGTTGGTGATCTTGAGGCAAAACCGGATGAGTACAACCCCAATGTGATGACCGACCTGCTGAGCACTCCACAGATCCACTTTGATGTATAAGCTTGAATGATAGCAAATCACCTGCGATTGGAGTTACAAAGTGTCCAAAAGAGTCGGCTGATGCTCCGAAACAAACTGGAGAAGTTGTCATCTGCTTCCAGTGGACTGAAAAAAATAAAACAGAAGAAAAATAGGGGGATAACCCTTTTCCCATGGCTTTTTATTTTATCAAAGAGAGGATTGATTCCTCTTACATCTTTGCTGAAGTTCAGTTTAACTAGTGCCCAGTATTCTCTCCTCCGCAAAGTCGTAGGGAGCCACAATGGAAAGGAAAGGAGCCTTTTCCCTCTTCCCATCGTTCACCGCGCACTTACCACTACCTTTATTTTTTTCCCAGCGGGAGCCTCTGCAGAGAAGAAAGCGCCCGGCACTGAATCACGCATCATGCGTCTGTCTCAAAAATCGAGTAATGGAGTAAAGCGCTTGAAATACGTTCTTATAATCAAAGTTTAACGTAGCTGTGCTTAGAATGAGAGATGTAAAATGTCCCAAGACTAGAACAGAACTTTTCTTCGCTACCACACCCATTGCTCGCTTAAAATAAGAAAACAAAGCATAGGCGTACGGGCCGGGGGTGCGAGGGGGGCTGCAGCTCCCCCAAATTTTGGGCAACTCAGATTTTTTGGGCAGCAAGAGAAAATTTGGGCAAAGCCAGCTTTTAAAGACGTTTTCATGTTTTTTTTATTAATATTTTGAAGAAATAAATATTTTCTATTTTAACCTGAAGTCGGCGTAATAATCAAGTTACATTCACACGAGACAGTGGTTGCCAAGCACGTGATGAGTTTCTGTTTATGAGGGAAGGTTTTTTTTTCATTGTTGGGCACTGTACTGCCATGGGCTATTTCCAATCGTGAATTGATTAGAATAAACTTCCGCCTAACTTTTTAGAATCATCTCCGCTCGTAGAACAGTGTATGGCAGATACTGTCAGCGATTGATCTGAAAGTGAAGCAGTGGCTGACTAATTCTCACTTTGAATTACGAGAAGAATCTTAATTTTTTTAAAAAAAATCTATCAAGTGGTTCAAATTATTCACTAATTTGTTAAAGTAGACCGAAATGTTTACAAAAACCGCTAACAAGCGCGCCATGATACATACTAATCAAATCCTTCTTTATAGCAATTGACCAGAATAGACCTTTTTACCAATACGGCGGCCATATTGATATTAACTCGATTTAAGGAGTATTATGCCCAGGGGGCATGAGCACATTTCGTTTGTAGTTTCGAGCGCTTTTCGGGACATTTTTTCTTTAAGTTGTCTTAGAATAAGATTGTAATGGGTAAAAAGATCCTTGTGCCGTGTTTGGATGTAATAATGATCGCCTTTTTCCAGTTTAGTATTAGAAATATGGTCTTTCACTGTATATTTCTTGGGTAAAAGGCGATCATTAACTGCACAAGGATCTTTTTTCCCATTACAATCTTATTCTAAGAAAACGTTAAGAAAAAATGTTACGAAAAGCGCTCGAAAATACAAACGAAGTGTGCTCATGCCCCCTGGGCATCCTATAATACTCCTTAAATCGAATTAATTCAATATGGCTGCAGTATCGGTAAAAAGGTCTATTATCTCTATTATATCACTCATGGTGTTTATGCCAAATATCACTAAAAATCATGGTATTACCTATAGAAATAACTCACACACATTTTGAAAAAGATTGAAGCTACTATGAGGTGAAATTGCATGTCAAAAGCGCTTCGTTTTCTACAGATAACGGCTAAACATCAAGATTTTCCTTGTTTTACTGTATTTCTAACGATAAAAACTTTATCCCAAAGATCCCGATAACGCTCTTACAGATTCCGTTTTAACTTCACGAACATCGAGGCGACTATTGGAGGAAGCTCCCGAGAACGATTTCATAGACCTTCATAATGAGAAATAATGCTGCGAGTATAATAGGTAATGGCGTCATTTTGTTGCTATGACAACTCCGGTGTCATTGCAACCCTGATCATGACAAATTTTCATCTTTATCTAATACAACTGTGGTGGCAATTTTTCCAAATGTGTGTTTATGGCAACGTATAGTTTATGCTCAAACTTGGCCGTTATATATTGACCCTGAAAACCTGTATTGAGGCACTTTTGTATGCGAGTACGCGGGCCTATGTTGTTGCATCGTATGGCCCTTGTTTCTTTTCGACTGTTTTGTAAAAATTTGGGCAATTTGCAAGAATTTTTTGGGCAAATGGTCTACCGCCCCCCCTGGCCGAAAATTGCCCGTACGCCTATGCGTTACACTGAACAACTTTGACTGTTTACAATTTGCAGGAAAAAGAAAAAAAACAAGCAACAAGGTCATCAAAAATTCCCAGGTTCTTGGTTCTTTTCAATAAAAAAAGTTGTTAATATACTCAATAATCGTAAAATATAAATAGCAATGAATCGTTTCCCTATCGAAAACTGAAAAAAATGAGAATACCCCGGCTGTGCAAGAGATTCTCGATTACTTCAAAACTTGAAGACTCAGTTCAAGACGAACCATAAATATCGATTTGGTTAGGAATATTTGTTTTCCCCATCAACATTTACCTCTTGTAATACGTGCGAAACCCAGACTGATGAGAAAGTTACACTCATAACGTCACATCTGAAGTATTTATCGAGCCTTCCAAGGCTATTCGGCCATCGTGGCAAGTGCGCATATTCTATACACACTGACTTGCCACAAAAACGAGCCCCTAAAACTGGTGTCTCATGAGTTTTGAGACACCCAGGAGTCTGTGTGTTTTGGGGGACCTGAGGTCCTGGGTTTTCGAGGTCTTCGTCACAACCTGCAACCCGGGTGAACTTTAATACCCGGGACGCCTGGAAAGAGAAAATGAAAGCGCCAAGAGATCTGTTACTGATGAATGGGGCCTCTGCACGACGGTTAACATGAATTACAATAGGGAGCTTAAGCAACAACAACGACGGCTACGAAAACGTCACTTAAAAAGTGAATTCGTGGTGCTTCAAACTTTACAGCGCGTATTCCATCTCGTTCAATTCGTGAAATGTTGCCGAATTTTTCTGGAGTTGAATTCTAAAAGACTGTATCAAAGTTCAGAAAAAGGAAAAGAAAGTCGTTGTCTTGTGTTCACGTCCTCTACAAAACGTGAAATTAGACAGTCTCACGTCGTAGTCGTGCAACGACGGCAAAGAAAGGTACAATAAAGCGTGATGCACGTGCAAAGTTGTTGTTTTGCAAATCTAAACCTATTGCTTTTTTGCCGTTCTTGTTGCCATCGTCGTCGTCGTTCCTTAAGCTCCCTAATATTGAATGTTAAGACGTGTTGTGGCAACCTACATCATGGAGTTTTCCGTATGAGGTTGATATTAATTATATATTAATAAGTTTGCCTGTAAACAGGTGATGACTGAATACTGACTGAGAGAACTCATCTGAGCGGGTTTGTCTTTCCATGACTAGGCGAATTAAGTTGCTAAGGAAGCTTTAAGGATGTGTTTTGTCATCTTACCTTTCTCACAGTTAATTCCAAAGAACCCATCGCTGCAGAGGCACACATAACTGTTTTCCTTGTACAGAGACACACATTTTCCATTATTTTTGCATGGAGAGTTTTCACAAGGACTCTGTGGAAAAGTGATTGGGATATTAAAAATGCTTGGAAGATATCACCGCACTTTATATCCTAAAGTATATCATGCTAATATACAAATTTATAAATAACCCTTATTCTAATTTACCCTTAGCCAAAGGGGTTAATATACGTTTTGAAGACGCCCTCCAAACTAAAAGAGCCTTTCCTACCAAATGACATTATTTCTATTGTTTCTACTTATCGAAGAACGAAAATTCTTGAAAAAATCTCAGCAACTTCCAAGGGCAGGAAGGATTCTCCAATAGCCAGCGATGCACCAGCACCTGCGGGGTTGTTTCAAATGCGATAAAACCAAATGCGATCTTTGTGAACAATTTCCTTGTTAGTTCAAGTACATTTTCTAAAGCCCAAACTTGCAGCAAATTATTTTCTGGACACATGCTTTCATTTTATTTAGTGATCCGCGAAAAATGCAACCTCCAGTACGCTAACTTACGCTGCATGGTCTATCACTACCGAATTCCAAAATTAAGAACACAAACACTTTAAAGTTTGATGTACAACTGGATGTTTGCAGTTTTGAATTTTGCCTTCCAGTTACTTTGACCTTCACTGACTTGTGTATAGATTTTCAACAACTCGGACATTGCGTTGGAACTGTACTATAAATGATTTAAGAATAAACGTCAAGAGTTTTTTTTTTCTGTAGGCACTGAGGATGACGCTGTAAGTTTAAGCATAAGGTCCTGGTAAAGAAGGATTTCACTAAAGGTTATGATCGCAAAAAAGTATCAGGAGCACATCCCAACTAATAAGAAAGAATCCGACTCTTTCAGCGGCAAAACATAAAACAAAATTCTTTGCCACACAAAGGTATCTTCTGATGCCAGTTGAAATGAGCTTCAGTTCGATTCGAGTCAAGCACTACATCAGCTCCAACCTTGTGATAAAAGGGACAAAACGCACTTCAACTGTCGCTTATTGTAAATTGAAAAAGTGACTGACTTGGTGTTTTTGAAATCTGCTGAAAGAAAAGATTTTACAAGAGCCTTTTTAACAGTACTTTTAAGCTAAATGATTACCTTGTCCCTGGAACTACACTCTAGCGACGTGCCGGTGATCTACAAATACAGTCGACTCCCGGTAACTCGAACCCTCGCTAACTCGAACCTCGCGCTAACTCGAACCAAAATAGATTTTCCCTGGATTTCCGTCATACATTCACTGTAATTTTACCCTCGGTAACTCGAACCCTCGATAACTCGAACTCCCGCTCTGACTCGAACCAATTTTCGTTTCCCCTTAGGTCATTTTCTATATAATTTTACCCTCGATAACTCGAACCATGTTTTGATCCCTTAAAAAGTCGGGAAAAAAGCCGTCTACTTGCGTCCGAAACATTGAATTTTGGATTTCCTATTGAGGTGTTGTAGGAGTATAGTTTACTAGTGGAAGCTGATGTTGATTGTCACAGGCTAACGTGAAGCAGGTTTTCTTCTCAAAACAGTAAAACGCATGCTCTGTTTAGGCTATGTTTTGTTACGTTACGTTCTGATTTATAACCTAAAAGTATCTTTTAATTTTCACTAGACATTTCTACAATTAAATATGATTAAAATGTTCACTGTGCAGTAAAAACTGTTTTTTACCTTACTCTCGGCTATTTTCTTCGAACTCCCGATAACTCGAACCTTTTTTAGATTTTCCTTGAAGGTTCGAGTTATCGGAAGTCGACTGTAACTCGAAAAGCATGGCAAGGCACTGTGAATTGAAACTTACTACAAAGGCGTAGTGATGAAATTCCTGACTTGGAACAAATTTACTGGAATGGTTATATTTGTCTGAGGCCAGCAGATGGCATGCAAATCTGTTCGAGTTCCTCAAAGGCCAAATGGCTATATTAAATGAATAGCACGCCGCATTGATGATGCACTCTAGGGAACACTCCGCAAAATTCTTAACGTTAAGTGAGACCAGCCTGTTGGAAATATTCAGTGCGTAGTTGAAGAACCCCTTGAAGTTTCCATAGTGAGCGTGTTCATAGTTGTCTCTTTTCAATACCTGTTTGAGAATAAATCAACGAAAAATTTCCAACCTTAAATTAAAGAAATACAAAGAAGATTGAAGTCTGAGATTGTGACTGAAAATGACTGTTGTATAACACTGACGTTTGTAGACTTGGTCAATGTAACTACCGCAGCAAAGGCGAAAGCGATACAAACGGCCGCTATCCTCCGCTGCATTGTTTCTTCATAGACTATTCCGTCTCAGTGAGTTTAATTTATACTTCGACTTTATCTTCTGCCTTGAAATTCCGCTTCCTTTTGTTTTTATTTGCAGAGATAAATAATGTATGTATCATTCACTTCTGTTGATGTTATGTTTGAGGTAAATAGACCCTTTTGACGGTTATTTTATCTTTGTATTAATCAATAATGCTGGAAATAGCCCCTTAAAAATAAGCAAAGTTGCCAATATCGAGGGTCATATGTCAGAAAAGGGGGAAGATAAAGCGTCTATAAAGCGAGAAATTAAAGTATAAAGGATTTACGGCAGAGCAACTCGCTCGCTTAGCGTAGAGGTACCAGGTATCTAAGTATACATCTTGGTAATTCTTTATTCTTCACAGCAGGTCATATATCTTCTCTACAGCATCACTTAACGAATCGAATACTACAGCTCAACTACTAACTGCACACCAGGGAACCACCTATCGACCACCTCCGAGCTGTGCCAAATGTTGGCAACATATAACTTAAATGTAGGTACGTTCGGGCGTGTTGAATTGACCATAAGAATTACGAACTCTTTTCCGAATGACTTTTCGAATTTCCTGTTGATAACCAGAGTGAAATAAACAAACCTAGCGTGACAGCTTAACCCACGAGGCTCTAAACCAAAACAGGAACTCTGATGTAGGTAACAATCAAGGTCAGCGATAGTACCAAAACGTGCTTAATTACTTGAAGGACTGACACTCAAATTTAATAAATAACATTCATGTAGAAAAACTACTTTAAGAGGTAATAGAATTTGAAAACTTGTTGATACAACTATACGGATCAACCTTGATCCACCAACTGATCATAACAAACTCTAGGCAGGAGTGAACATCAAGCGGAAACATGAAATAAATTAAAAATAACCTACAAACACCACAACAATACACATCTATTTTTCAATATGGTGGGTGGGACATACCAGCCGCCGCTATACAAACATCAGGGGCACCCCACGACGGTTTTCTGCAAACTACCTGTTCGGAGAAGCAAATATTTGCCTAGAATTTTCTATAGCTTGAGCATGGCTACAGTTTGTAAATGATCGTTTCATTCATGTGCAAATTTTGGCGCAAATGTAATGTATTCTCTACGATTTTCTAGCCTGTGAACAGTCCTTTGGTCGAGCGGGGAAATAGGGAATGGGAAAGGCGAAAACATTTGGAACCGCCGTTCCACGGCACCTCTCCCCCCTTTCTCTTCCTTTTCCTTGCTATTTTTTTCCCCAAACAGAGAGCCTGTTCACCGGCTACGATTTTTCAAGTTTAATTTTTCACATTTCACTGCCCAGGTTGGGCTATTTTCTTACAAAAAAGTAAACCTAAAATTTTCAGATTGGAAAGTGTGATGAAGAAAAATCCTCATTTTCGACAACTCGACATCTCGACAACTCGAGGATCCAACATGTCGACATCTTGAACTGCACATCTGGACAAGTCGACATCTAGAAATCTCGATAACTTGAAACTCTTGACTTGAAAAGTGAGCAAGTCGACAACTTGCATGGCCCGTAGGAAATTTTAAAAGGATTTGTATGGAGTCATCAGAGAAAATCGGTGCTTAGATATCCCCACTAATTTTCACTAAAAGGCTAATTTTTGGCAAGGGGTCTTTTTTTATCTTCTTTTTTCTCAATATGCGGCAACCAACTCCTAATTTAACAAATTTTAATTTTTGTGACGTCATGTTTCTGCTCTCTACGGAGCCTAGACAAAATCAAGAGGTGGGGTATCTTACGAATTCACGGGTTTCTTTGCTTGGCAAATACCCTAAGATTTTCATCACAGACATACAATACCGCTCAATGATTAGTTTATCGCTGCCACTAAGTTCCCGTTTCCAGTTATCAACAAGAGTGGAAGCATTTCTGTGCGTGGAATATGGGGAATAAGGTTTTCTTGGGTATGGAACACTGCTAACTTTCGTGTTTATCTTGATCCCCCCGGCCAGTCTGAGATTTCCATCTTCATTGGAATTTTCGCGAACTTGAATAGATTTCTTGTTGTGTTTTCTAAATCTAAAACCAGATCTTCGTATCTAAGTACCTTGTAAAGGTGAAGTAAGTCAGCTGAAAGGTTTTTGATTTCAAGAAGATTATGGTGAATACGGTTACATATTCTTTGAGTATGCTTTAGAATGTCCTCTGTATGAAGCTTTCCATTTTTGAGCGTGTCCCTCCGCATGAAATTTAACTTCATCTGGGATAATATCAACGCCCGTGGGTCTCTCACTAAGTGAATAACTTAGCACGGCTCTGGCTTCGTATTAGCGCACATTGATAGAAACGATGCGATACTTTGGTTGGGAACCCTGTGCGACGAGATCTTGACAATGCTGAAGGAGTACTGAAATTTACAAACTTCCTCCATCGTAGTTCCAATAAGCGGCGCGCAGTTCTCTCTTGCAGTAAAGGCATGAGTTGCTTCTCCCTGGTGGCATAAAGGAAAGGAAGAAAGCGACTTGCTAAAAGAACGATGAAAAGAGTTGAAATGAGCAAGATAAACTGAAGAGCGGAACCTGCAATTCAAAATTTCAAACAGTAATTTCAGTGCGAGTCGATTGTAATTTTCCGATGGAAGGTTCAAGTAGAGATCTTCATTTGTTGCCACGGTAACAGCACGCAGAGGTTCAAATAGATAGAAAACGTTTGGATGTTGATTAAAGATCTGACCCAAAAATGACGAACCAGATCTAGGCTCTGAAACAATTATAACATTGACTCTTTTGCTGGTGGAAGAATCTAATATTGACGAAGGTGTAAATGAATCACTGCGGGGTTTAGTCGTTATGACGCCCGTTCGTGAGAACGGAGGACTTCTAAAGAAAGCCATTTTCCTGCCGTCGAAGGTCTTCTTTTCCCTCAGCGGTTTGTTGTTAGTATTAAATGCACTACTGAGGTTTTCGTTCAAACCCTCAACAAGAGAAAATTGTCTTTTAAAGTTGGTTAACCTTCTGGTTTACAATCAACAAGATGCTTATTAAAACACGTAAGGCAGTTTTTGAGGTTTTTAACCTCATCATCGCGCGCGTGCAATGAATCTTCGGCAAGCATGCGCGCAACTAAAATTTACGGGATCATAAATCGTGTGTTCTTTTGTTTGCTTATCAGGGATTATAGATGATGATCACTATGTGCAGACTTTATTTAAATAGTTACTTTACAAGTGCTTTTTCTGCATCAAAAACCTTCAACCCTTCCATGCACTTCCAAGAGTACAAAACAACGTAAGATTTTGTCCACTTTCTCAAAAGGTACAAACATATGTTGTGCTTATTTACATAGCTTGACCCTGGAAGTTTAAGGGGAAATCATTATGGACATTCTGGTCCTAATATTGTTTAAAAGATAGATAGTGCTATCCACCGGATAAGTAGGAGAAATCCAATTTGTTTTAGAGGCTCATCCATAGGATAGAGCTTACGTTAGATAATGGCGCTATAGAGCTTTTGAAACCGGGGTCTAGATCGTGGGGGTACTGCTTTCAATTGTCAGTTACATCTATTCGCCTTGCAAACGGAGCACCTTCAAGTTTAAACCGACGAATTGCAACAGAGTGATAATTATAGATATTTATGGCGAAAAAGTTCATAAATAGCCTAAAACTGGAACTGGTACATGTAGCTGTTAGGTGGGTAGTTTCCCAGAAACCTAACTTGATCCGCTGTTTCTTCAGAACCCACGGCTGAATAAATTAAATCATTTCACCTCAGAGTGAAAGTAAAATTCAGAAGTTTTTTCAGTTGCCTGTTTGAAGAGGCTGTCCAGTCTTTTTTCAATAGAGCACCCCTCATATGTCGTTTTCCTGTCATTTGTTTTTTTAAATACTGTGTGTGAATCAACTGTATTGGTCCATGAAAAGTCGAGAAGATCTGTTCTTTGCTCAGGTGATTTTATGGTCTTATTTTTTATACACAGTGTAGCTTTTTCCTGATTGAAACTTAAAATCATATTGTAAATGCAAACTGATAGTCATAGTTGTTCTTCTTCTAGCCAAACCGAGTCATTTGTGAATACGCCAACTAAGTTCTACAATTATACCATGCATCCGGCTCAGATCAGTATTAGTAGCGAAAGATCACTGGGAAAAAAATTACGTAAAACTGAACTAGTTTGACAACAACCTTCTACCATTACACACAGTTTGATTAAGTTTGGAATGTATTCTAACAGTAGTGATTTATATAATTGCACGTATTGATAACAAGACAGTTTTAGTTTTCTCAATTAGTTTTGCCTTCAATAAAGCGACTGTAGAAAGGTTTGAAACTCACGAAGCGCTTACTTGTCTTGGCGCCTCTTGGTCGAAGAGGTTTTTCATTTTACCTGAATTAAACAAAAAGCCCAAGTACTAAAACACACGTCTTTCCCAGCCCATTATTTTCATGCCAGCATTTGTTTAAATCTTCCCCGAACCATATCTGGAATTCCTGTCCTACCGATACATGCAAAGGAGTAGAAAAATTATCAAACAGCAGCTCTGGTGAGTCAGCAGCTTGACCTGGAAGGCCGTAATAGTGATTGTTGCATGGTGATCCTTCCACAAAAAAATAGTCATCTTTTGGAAGAAGTCGTACACTCTGGGAATTGGTTATGATGTGAGTTCCAAGTCGGTGATCTTTGGAAACACTAGGAAGAGTGCAACCCCAGCGTGATGACCAACCTGCTGCGCACTCTACAGATCCACTTTGATGTATAAGCTTGAATGTTAGCAAATCACCTGCGATTGGAGTTACAAAGCGTCCAAAAGAGTCGGCTGACGCTCCGAAACAAACTGGAGAAGTTGTCATCTGCTTCCAGTGGACTGAAAAAAAAAAAAATGGCGGAAAAAATAATAGGATAACTTTTTTCTCGTGGTTATTTATTTTATTCGGAGGCCTCTTTGCGTCGAAGGGAGGCTTGTTAGAGGGGAAAGAGGTTTTTTTGCATCTTCCCATCGTCCACGTGCACTGCGCTTAATACTTCATTCATTCTTTCCCAGTGGGAGCCTCTGTCCAGTAGAATCATGCATGATATGTGTCCATGGCAAAGGTTGTATATGTAAAATATATGAGAAAGTAAAAGAGTAAAGCAGTTGAAATACGTACTTGGACTAAACTAAATAATTAATTTTCTTTAAGTTAGGTAATTTAAGTTAAACTTAGCTGTGCTAAGGAATATCAGTGGCCCAAGACTCGAAAAGAACTTTCAGGAAGAACTAGAAGCTACGGTATCAAACCCGTTGCTCCTGTAAAATAAGTAGACTAAGTAGGCGCACAGACAACTGACAGGTAAAAATTCTATTTATTACCGAAAAAAATGACCGAATTTCAAACTGCATTGAAAATTTCTGAGTTACTGAAATGATATCGAATTCATGGTGAATCTTTGCGCCTGGCTTCCTAAAGGCCATTATTTACTTGTTTTAGTTACTCGTTTAAGGTAACGTCTCTCGCTTGTTTGTTTTCGCATGCCGGACCACGGTAGCCTGAATTTCAGACGATTACTTCGAGTCGTTTTCTCCTCTCAGAAACGTCTGAATCGACAGCCTTTAATGCCGTCCAGTGACATCACTACCCGAAAACCGGGTAGTGATTTTGATTGGTTGATTGCCCAAACATTCGCATAATCATGTATAATTATGAGAAATTTAAGCGGGATTTTCGTTTGATATTCAGCGGATCACATGCTTGGCATGCTTGCGTGGAAATAAAAAATGCAGACAATCTTTATCCCATAACCAGTAAAATTGCCCTTGTCTTCGAAACTATGAGTTGTTAAATTGAACTGCGAATGAAGAGTCATTGCGGAGAGTTGGTAGATTTATCATTTAGAGCCGCTCTGTGGTTTCGGCAGTGACTTTGTTTGTGCAAAGTTTCTGGGATTAAGGTATAATTCGACCTTCTTGTCATTTCCACCGTCAAGTGTAATGATTGTGTTAGCTTTTCTTTCTTGTTTTCTTTCTTCTTCGTTAAGCACCAAACAGCTTCTTTTCAATTAAAACAAACTGATTCAGTTGTGTTTCTGAAGCGTTCCGTGTCTTGATTTCAGCTTATTTCATTGCCCTGATTGCGATCGAGTTCGACAGTTTGGATTACAACAGATTCGTTCAGAGCCCGCAAACAGTTGACAGTTTAAACGTTAAAAATGAATTACAATAAAAAAGAGTAAAGCGATTCTGTAGCATGTAGACATTTCCAGACGATGTTTCTTTGTTTACTGTTTGAAAATAGTGTTTTACTTTTTTGCATGAATTAAAGCAAAGGAGTCAGTGACGTCACTGGACGGTATTAGGGAGTTTAAGCAACGACGACGGCGACGGCTACGAAAACGTCACTTAAAAAGTAAATTTGCGCTGCCTCAAACTTTATCGCGCTTATTCCGTCTAGTTTAATTCGTCAAATGTTAGCAAAATTTTTCTGGAGTTGAATTCTAAAAGAGTGCATCAAAGTTCAAAAAAAGAAAAAGAAAGTTGCTGTCTTTTGTTCCGGTCCTCGACAAACGTGAAATAAGGCAGTTTCACGTTGAGGTGATCGAGGTCGTGCAACGACGGCAGAGAAATGTACAAAAGAGCGTGATGCACGTGCAATGTTGTTGTTTTGCTTATCTGAACCTATTACTTTTTTGCCGTTGTCGTTGCCGTCGCCGTCGTCGATGCATAAACGGCTGTCTATTCAGACGTTACTGAGGGAGTAAAAACGACTCGAAGTAATCGTCTGAAATTCAGGCTACGACCCCGGCTCACTGCAGCTTCTTTCACACGCTTCTCATTTTTTGGTATGCAACAATTTAGCCTTATTATATTTCAAAAATGCCTTAATAGATAGATCTTTTTGAATCTTGCCAAGGTAAAGACAACGATCTAAACTATTAACACAGTAGAGGATTTTAACAGATTAGCGCTACACTGAACAACTTTGACTGTTTACAATTTGCAGGAAAAAGAAAAAAAACAAGCAACAAGGTCATCAAAAATTCCCAGGTTCTTGACTTAACCAAATCAAAGAAATCTTTCCTACTGGCGTTCATAATGGTGTTTTCAATAAACAAGTTATTTATATGCTCAATAATAGTAAAATGTAAAAAGCAATGAATCGTTTCCCTATCGAAAACTGAAAAAATGAGAATACCCCGGTTATGCAAGAGATTCTCGATTACTTCAAAACTTGAAGACTGTTCAAGACGAATCATAAATATCGATTTGGTTAGGAATATTTGTTTTTCCCATCTAGGTAGTTCTCAATGTTCTTCTGTAGATGAGCTATCAGCATACAATTCTGCTCAGCAACACTGCTGGAGGATGGTATACAGCAGCAACCTATAACGATGAAGTACCTCTCGGAAGACGATGCGGCCGAATCTTGAGCCAAATTGATTCAAAATCTTGTAGCCTGTTACAAGGATGCATAGTCTTGACGTACACGCAGACCCCCCGCCCATAGCAAACTGTCGATCATTCCGATAACAAATGAAATCAGTAAGATCGCAGGCAGAATTCGGTATGTTAGAATTCAGCCAGGTTTCAGTTAAGCAGACGATATATGGATTATTGATAGAAACAACTGCCTGCAGCTCGTCCATCTTACTAGTGACTGAGCGAATGTTCGCGTAAAAGACGGAAGGGATAGACGCAGGTGATCTTACATCTTGCTGTCCTTGTTGTGCCTCTTTGCTCTGGTTGGAATTCTCAACGTTCCAAGGACCACGGTTGATTGAATCCGCCGCAGATCGATTTCTACATTTCCTCCTGCCGGCCAGCACGCTTCGACCTGTTCGGTTTTCGTATTCCCAGAGAGATTATACACTTCCATACCTCAGTAGGGAGTCGCGTCCGAGGCATAGAAGATCTAATTGCCTTCAATTCGCGGGGAGAATACGAAACACGACCCCGTCCTGGAACAACATGGCGGATCGGTTTTACTTTGATTGCCTACGAGCAAACTATTTTACTGTTAGATCGATACGATTATAACGTTTCTTGCCATTTTCATCATCTTTGCATACATTACCCCCTTCTCCTTTCTCAGTGGGAATCATTAAAAGAAAAAATACCCAAAGCTCTTCGTCTTCCCTCGTCTCCCACCATTTTTGAACGAAGCGCGCTTTCTAATAACCAGTTACTGATGACCAAATTTGGAAGAATTTTGCGTTAACCGAGAAGACCTGGGGACGAGGTTGAGTTGTTTTGGTTGTGAACTTGAAAAATGGCGGACATTTCACTCGTTTCAAGAGTAAGAACTAAGCGAAACAATAGCTAAAAAAAGGCAAGAACAGCAAGAAGACAACTTGCAGAACTTGAAGGGCGACATCTGTTATTTGGAGAATATTTGCAGAGCTGGACAAACCTAAACGTGCACTATCGAAGATGAACTGAACATCGATGGATCGATGGAGGTAAGCATGTTTTAGCCATGTTTGTAAACTAGGAATCATTTTGAATGAATAATAAAACAATTACTGAATTCGGCTTTCGTATCATATGAAGAATTATGGAGATCTCGGAGGGTGTTATCCGCCTCGGCCTGCGGCCTCGACGGATAACACCCTACTCGATCTCCATAATTCTTCATAAGATACTCAACCTCATTCATTAATTGTTAATTATTGGACTGTATTTAAAAAACAAGCACCTAGAAAGAAGTTTTAGCAGTTAAATAAACCAAGTGAAAATATTGTTTTGCAACGGGACATGAATCGACTAAGAAAATTTTCATATTCTCACTTTGTTAAGCACATGAAACCAAAAAAAAAAGAATTAAAATTTCTAGTGTTGACGGCCGTTGAACATGTTTCTAGCTATCTCTGTAAACTTGAGCCTTGGTCCAAAACAATAGGATGTGACAGGTTACTTAATTATAATCACCACAAATACTCCATGAATACGCCGTTCAACGGCGCTTTCACATTTAAATCGGCTCTCTAGCTTGTTATTATCAATTAATTCGTCAAATGTTGGCGCATTTTTCTGGAGTTGAATTCTAAAAGACTGTATCGAAGTTCAGGAAAAGAAAAAGAAAGTCGTTGTCTTGTGTTCACGTTCTCTACAAAATGTGAAATTAGGCAGTTTCACGTCGTAGTCGTGCAATGACGGCAAAGAAAGGTACAAAAAAGCGTAATGCAGTGTTGTTTTGCAAATCTAAACCTATTGCTTTTTGCCGTTCTTGTTGCCGTCGTCGTCCTCGTCGTTCCTTAAGCTCCCTAATATTGAATGTTAAGACGTGTTGTGGCAACCTACACCATGGAGCGTTCCGTATGAGGTTGAAATTAATTATGTAATAAGTTCGCCTGTAAACAGGTGATGACTGAATACTAACTAAGAAAACTCATCTGCGCCGCTTTGTATTTGACTGTAACAATTAAGTTGCTAAGGAAGCTTAAAGTGTCATATCTTACCTTTCTCACAGTAAATTCCAAAGAACCCATCGCTGCAGAGGCAAACATAACTGTTTTCCTTGTACAGAGACACACATCTTCCATTACTTTTCGCATGGAGAGCTTTCACAAGGACTCTGTGGAAAAGTGATTGCGATATTAAAAATGCTTGGAAGATATCACCGCACTTTATACCCTAAAGTATATCATGCTAATATACAAATATATAAATAACCCTAATTCTAATTTACCCACAGCCAAAGGGGTTAATATACGTTTTGAAGCCGCCCTCCAAACTAAAAGAGCCTTTCCTACCAAATGTCATCATTTCTATTATTTCTACTTATCGAAGAACGAAAATTCTTGAAAAAATCCTAGCAACTTCTAAGGGCAGGAAGGATTCTCCAATAGTCACTGATGCACCAGCACCTGCGGATTG